ATATATATATATATATATATATATATATATATATATATATATATATATATATATATATATATATATATATAGTATATATATATATATATATATATATATATATATATATATATATACATATATATATATATATATATATATAATATCCCTTGTATCTTAAGAAATAAGTACGTTAAATACGCATTTTGTAAAACAAACACAGCGAGATATACTAGTATATAGCTTACATCCAGAAGACGTGTTGGCAGTAATTGGTGAGGTCGAGTAGTTTGGGGCCCTTCAGCCACATGCCGTTAATGATATCACACACGTCAGTGTTCCGTCTTTCCCTGAACTTCTCGCCCTCATGTGCCGCCAAATGAGCGCTGGCCATACAAGGAAACAGTATTTCCGTATTATACGTTTATCGGGTTAGTATGAGCTGATACAGGAACAAATACTGTAACTACTGATGGTACGGCCATTGTGTCGTACTCTGAACTTGCCTCCCTCGCACACAGCGCAATAAGGACTAAAAGAAGGAGAGCACATTGCTTGCAGACAAGGCGGAACAGATACTTGCGCCAGAAAGTGCATTGCGAGGTTGAACCATTATACATAACCAGACATGCAACAAACATCACTACTCACCACGGCTTAAAAACAGCTCTCTCGACATACAGGGAGAGTATAACAAACAACACAACACATGGTACCAGGGAGATGGCAGTATGCGTTATACTAGGCACATACAAACACACTACGCAAGTGTATAACCCCAAACAAGAGTATAACAAACAACACAACACACCGTACAACGCAGATGGTAGAATAATCCAAGGTTAGCACAAACAAACACACTACGCAAGTATACAACCGCAATAAAAAACAAAATTACAGCACAACACACCTCACAAAGCAAATGGTAGTGTCTCCGATAGTCAGCTTGACTGCCGTTCCTCCTTTATTGCCCACTATGTCGCCTAGTCCTGTGGCCTCCTTCGAGCGCACCACCTTGCGCACACGATTCGCCACCTTCTTCCGCACCAGAACTGCATCAAAATATAATTAGTAGTACACTTGAGGTGGCTATTTATAACACACAAGTATATATAT